TAAACACCAGTCCAATATGTGAACAAAGTGAATAAGGAGAAAATAGAATGAAAAACTAAAACGTGAAAAAATTAGATCAACAAGATTGTATCTTGGTTAGTAATAAAAAGACACTACAAGAAGATTTGCTTTCAAAGTATGTAAAGGAAATCTCCATTTCCAAACACTTTGTCACATAGCAGTCACAGGTTATAAAGACACAATGAATTAGTGAATTATGAAACATATTCTATAAAATTGGTAAGTTTCTTTTAAAATGCTTTGTGCAAATACTTATTCCAAGAAACACAAACTTCATACATATATAAAGCCCCCAAAATTAATGGTAATAAAACTGTCAAACCTACTAGTTAGTCATGACTTAAAAAATATCAAGACACTTTAGCAGGACAGCTAAACCTGAGTATCTAGTTTCATATTCCTTATTATGAGCTCTTACTAAAAATCTCCTTTTATACATAAATGTTTAAGTCAGAAGCATCTCTCTAAAACAGTATTTCAGTTTTAAGATGCAGTTTCAGAATAAAATTTAATAAGCATTGTTAAAGATATATTTAAGAAAATATATTGTAGAGAGGAATTCCAGTGTACTCTCAACCTGATTAAAAATGTTTACATTTCAAATTTTCTATTTTAAAAAGATACTGGCAATGCACATGGAGAAACAACTATGTGATGTTCTGCTTCATCTTCCTACTCTTACTCTTGTTTATTTTTTAGTGTTTTAAAAATTCATTTAAAATAGATACTTAAAAATATAAAAATTATATATATTCATAGGGGTGCTATGTTGTATTGGTGGTTAGATTCCTTATTTTTTTGAAGGGGACAAAATACTGCAATTTAAGGGAGGAGGGGTTTATTTTGGCACACAATTTTAGAGGTTTCAGTACATTTTCAGCTGGCTTCAAATCAGGAATACCATGGCAGAAGGTCATGGTAGAGCAAAACTACTCACTTCCTGATGGCTGTGAAGGAGTTTACAAAGGGAATAGTGCCAGGGAGTAAGGGGCCAAACACCAGATATATTTCCCAAGGTCCTACCCCTAAGATCCAACCAGCACAGTTAGAATTGAGATTTACTAATCTCTCAAATTAATTAAATTGACAATTAAGATTGTCACATTTCACCCCTGTGAACTTGAAACCACAATCTCCAAATACAGACAATAACAAGATCATAATTCTTCCTAATATGGTGTAACTAACTCAAGTACCCTGGAAAGTACACAAATTATTCCCCCAAGTTTGAATTTCCTAGCATTCCTAAAAAAGCTACCTGCAGCATCTTCCTGAAACTTAAGGGAAACCCTTAGATCTGTTCCTCTGTAAAACAATAAGCAAATTACATAATCCAAGATACAATGTTACAGTTTAAGTATTCCAATTCCAAAAGAGAAAAATAGGAGGACAGAGAGAAATTGAAGCAAAGCAAGACCAAAAATCAACAGCATAAATATCAAGTTCTATAGTTCCATGTCCAACATTTAGGGTGGGTTTGAGTGGTTGCACCCCTATAACCTTGCTAGTTGCCAAACATATGGCCTTTCTCTTGGGCTGGTTCTACACATGGCCTGTGATTTTCCTCAGTAGTTATTCCATATTCCTGGTATCTCCAACTTCTTGGCCTCATTCTCATAGTTTCATGCATTACTCTCTCAGTGGCTGATGACAGAGACTCCATCACTGTTACAAATTTGTACATGGCCTTCTAGACTTTCCTTTGAAATCTGAATGAAGGTCTCTGAGAACCCATAAGTTTTGCATTATACATATCTTAAAAATCAGCATCAAGTGGACAATGGCAAAGTCTGCTGACATCTTGCAATAGCTGAGCCCTATTGGGCCATGACTGCAGTGATCTCTAAGTGCCTGAATGGATGAGCATTCATGAAATGAATCCTAGGGAACCACTTTCCTAGCCAGCTCTTCTAGGTGCCCGGGTCTCTCCCCTCAAAAGTTCATATTTTTGTCCCTGTGAGCCTGTGATGTGTGGGGTCTTGTTCATTCCTCAAACATTCTCAAAGCATCTTTCTTCTTTTCATGGTTCAAAGTTCTTGGAGTCTACATGGTGGTGCTAATCTCTTCAGCAACAACACCCATCTGGTCCAAATTTTACAAGTGGTGTGTGTGGGAGCCCAGCCATGGCCCTCTAGGAGTTTGACATTTAAAAGGAAACTTCTTCACCTCTACACTCAAGGCATTGATACAATCTATAACATTCTAGGACTCTGCTTGTTAAACTTGTTGCTGCAATGGAAGAAACTCAAAGAGACAGCCATAGATCTGATGTTCTTTGCAAAGAGTTAGAAAATCCGTTCTTTGCATAAAAGATACAAATAGTTGCTTGGTGCTTCCTGTTGATGTGAACCTATAAAAGGAGCTGTTTCTGTGAAATAAATCAGACTTCTCTTGGTCTCCACTCAGGCTTGAGTGTTCTTTCCTTTCTCAATCCTCACTCCCCAACTCAGGCATGTTAGTGTTGTGATGGCTGGACCGCCACAGGTGTGCATAAAAATTAAAGTTCTGAAAAATCCTTTTGTTCATAATTCTCATTATAAATCTGTCTAAAACCAGCCAGTAGCACCTATGGCACAGCTGGAATGTTGGGCTGCCTTGAAATTTTTTCCATCAGATCAATTGATCATCATCTTTAAATTTATCCTTATACAAAGTCCTAAGATATAGATCAAATGAGTATAATACACAAGTCTCTAGACTAATTCCCATTAAAGTCCTTATTTCGGTCTGAAACTTGATGAGCCTGGCCTTTATTGTCCCTATTCCTATCCACGTTATTTTCTTTTCTGCTTGAGCTAGAATTGTCCTTTAGGCTCTTATTACATTATGTTAGGCTTTCGAAACCTGCTTCTCCAAACTTTTCCAAACCCCTTCTCCAAACCAGTTCCAAAGGCTTCTACATTACATGGCCAGGAATATACATAGTAATGACCTCACTTTTCTCACACCACTTGTCTGAAACACTTGTCAGTGTTTCTGTTTTATGGGACAAAATATCTGACATGTAGATCTTAAATAGAGAGAGGTTTGTTTTGTCTTACAGTTTCATAGGTTTTATTGTATGGTTAGCTGTTCCAAGGCAGGAAGATGATCATGAGAGGGTGTGGTGGAACAAAGCTGCTTACTTGATGGTGGCCAAAAAAGAGTACAGAGAAAGAGCACCAAAGAGGAAAGGGCCAAAGTTTCAATACAGTGCCCAAGAAAATGTCCCCATGACCCATTTGGCACTCCCAGAAGTGTGCTTTACTAATCTCTTAAACCAAACAAGCCATCACATATTTTGTTTTGATACATGTATTGTTGTGTAGTGTTTAAATCAGGTTAAATATTATTTTCTTCAACATTTATTATATTCTTATTGTGAAAACTCTCAAAATCATTTCTTTTATATTTTGAAATGAATAGTACATTGTTTTTATCTATAGTTACTCTAGGTTGCAATTGCCCACCCAAATTTCTTGCTTTTATCTAACCATAAATCATTACTCACTGATCATCAACTGGTACAACATGACTAAAATGAACAAAATGGAAAATAAGACATGGAATAGGAGGCTATTTTATGATGGTAGCCTCCAACATCTACCATGGGAAATACTGACATTTCTTGAAGTGACCAATAGAATAAGTGACTCTGTACTGATAATTGATAGACTTAAAGTCCCACAGCTCCATTTTAGAAGGGTGAGTCAAAATTTCAGTGTTTGCTGCCTTTAGTTTGAAACTTTGTAAAGTCTAAATACAAATTTAAAGTAATTTATCTAAACAGTGTTACTTTTCAGTTTATTTGATTTCTTCAAAAATCAATTCAAATGAAAGGTGAAATTTGCCTTTGAATCTATCATCCATTTTCTCGCATCAACTCTATAATCCTTCTCATTTTGGTTTCTGGTGCCCCTTTTCCTACGCTTTTCTCTTGTTTCCCACTGAACATTGTCTAGGTACTCTGAGTCTGTGCGAACCTCAAATATATGATTTCTCTATTTTTGAAACACACACACACACACACACACACACACATATATACACACATATATATATGTTTATATATGTGTGTATATATATATATATGTATAATAAATCTGTCTTAGTTCACTCTTTTGTTTAAAATATTACATTTCATCATGTAAAGGTACAAGACCCCAATGATGAATGTAACTGTACTGTATACCTAAAATGTACCAATAAACTCAATGAGAGAGAGAAAAAATAAAAATAAAATAGTACATTTCTTTATGGTTTTGGATTAAGGAGACTTGATTTTAAGTAAAATACACACTGAGGACCGGTGGGTTGCCATGACCCCTTCAAGCAAGCATTGCTGCATTCACAGAGGTCAACTAGAACCAGACATATAAGCTCAAACATAGCCTGGACTCCCTTCCTTCAAGATCATGGGCATATTTTGATAACCAATAGAGGCAGTACGGATGCTTCTATTATCCATTTGTACCACTAGAAATTAGCATGAAATACCTACGTTTTCTTATATATTATTGTGAAGCTATGGAGTAAGGGTTAAGCAAAAGAATTCATAGCAACAGAAAACAGATCGTTTCCCTTTCATAATTTGAGCCAGAATCAAATAGTTGAAAACCAATTTTGAATCTAAGGCAGATAATGTTTCCTGCCATTATTTTTCTCAGCAGCATGCGTTCAATGAAGATATGTTCTGTGAATAATTATCTGACTACATAAAAACCATTAGGCCGGAGTCCAAGAAGGTACCACAGCTGTGCTAGGGACTGGATGTTAGAGAAAGAATAGCATTCAGGGTTTTCACATCATCTGTCTCTATCATTAAAGTGTAGTGAATAAAGGTAGGACCTAGAATGAGGTAGTCCCAATATTTTTAGATCAGTTCTGAGGAACTAGAATGTAGGAAGTAAGAGGAAGAACTCATGTAAGGAAAAAGTCAAGAGACCTTTTCTAGGTTATGTATCTCCTCAAAGCCAGAGATTAACAGATCTATCTTTCAGTTTTTTATCAGATTACTATGGAAGAATGGGATGCAACCGAGATGTTGCAGAAACTATAGGCTCTCAGGTAAAGCCAAAATGCAGGACAAGGTGGACCAATCAGTACCATATACTCTGAAATCTTTCTCAGGATGTAACCCTGGTAGGTTGAACTAAATATTTTTACAATGTGGGTAATTTTGTCCTTCAAAGGGCTAATATGTTGCTGTCTATATTGCTTCTTCTGATCACACTGCAATGTTTTGTTCATTTAACCAATGTCTTTCTTCTCATTAGATTTGCTTCCACAAACACAGATTTTCCAGTCCACTAAGCTAATGTGTCTGGTCCCTGCTTATCTTCTTGAGGATAGCATTTTGTTTTCATGCTCTAATTTTTTAAAACAAAACTATCTTAAGACATAGTTGTAATTTATGTTAACAACAAGAGCCTACCAGCAAATCCCACTGACAAGAGTAAATGATAGCCTTAGGGCTTAGTGCCCCATAGTCATAGATTTAATCCAATAGTACCTCTGCCTCAGAGTCAGAATCAGAATTATTTTCAAAAGTGTAGTTGTTTCTTCATAATTAGGTCAAAAGAGTCAAATTCTACTTACTGCATGCCTTTATTTTCAATAATCTGATGCTTCTTATCAACTGAAAATATAGATAGAATCAGGCCATGTCTACATGATATTAATACAAGGAGAATGAAATTGAAATGCTTGCTCTTTGTTGTAGATAGTTTGTTATATGACATAAATGTTCTGGTGTCCATATATTGTTCTGACTTCAGTAGATTTACATTGGTACTTGGAAGAAAGAAAACATGAGAAAGAGCATAGTAAGATAATAGGTAGAAGAAGAGTTAAAAGAGAAAAAAATACAGTTAAATAGGAAGATATCATGTGATTTGGGGCTAAATAAGGAAAAATAGGGGGAAAAAACCAAGCACATTAATTCTGAGCATAGATAAATTCACAATGATATGAGGAGAGGCTACCTCCTGCCAGTTTTGACTCTGGTTGATTGCATGTCCACACTAGTCTTGGTTAAGAAAGATCTAGTTTGTACAAAAATTTATCTTTAGAAATAATGTCAACAATTCTTCAGTTTGAGAAAATATGAGGAAACTATCTGTGGGCAGTAAACAATGGCTCCTTGAAATTTTCATGTTCAACCGTTTTAACATTGTCAAAACATCATGGAGGCAAACATGGGAATTTCGTCCCCTTTTTCTTATTTTTTGAAACAAACAATGTTCAATACTATCCAGAAATATTTCCATGGACTAATTAAAGCACTTAAAAAGAAAACGTCATTAGAAATGCAAGGGCAGGGGCATTTTAGAAATTTTCTCTGATGTATGCCCAAACTAGCAGTTTTTCTCTTTGGAGGAGAATAATTTTAATCCATTCTTGCAAATATTCAAACTGAATATGGTTTTGCTAGAATGTCCTAACAAAGCTCTTTCATTAAAGCAGGAGCACTGCCTGGAAATAAAAAAGATGAGCTGTGTATTAAGTTCTGTTGAGTGCCTATGGAACCTTAAAAAAGGCTGCTAAGTCCTTGATTTCAGCTTTCTCATCTGTAAAACATGAAGATATTTTCATATGTCTTCCCATACCAACATTCAGGTAATCTGTGCTTCTCCCTGAAAGCTCAGAGAAAGAAAAGAAAGACTCCTAAGAACCTGTAGTATATGTCCTATTGATTATGGTAATAAAAATATGGATAATGCTGCTTTTTTGAGTATAAAAGAATTTGTGTTTTATGTTCAGTTGTTTTCTTGCTTAACCTTACATTAGGAATACAGATAACAAAAAGAAAGTTTGTGGTAGGATGTCTTAATGTACAAATAATTTAGGATCTTCCTCTATGGCCAAAGAAAATTTTGTTGATATAGCATAATATAATTTCTAAAAGTTGTACAGATACTAAAGTTCTCTTCATAGAAATGGCACATGAAGCATAGATAAGTAAACAAAATGCAACAAAAGTTACAGGTCTGTGAGTGTAGCATCTCAGTGGGCAATGAGATGCTAGAACAAATTGCAAGTCTTTGAAATGCAGGACATTCTGGCTGGGCCTGCTTTGCCAGTAACAAGCAACTCCCTTAGTCTCTCTCTGTCTGCATTTTCTTGTCTGTAAAATGAATGGAGGTGTTGCTTCCTAAGCTGCTCTCGGTTCTAGACTCTAATACGGCTAGAAACAGATTAAAAATGCATACATTATTTATAATTAAAACTCATAGAGCTACATACAAGAGTCATAGAAAGACCTAAGTGATGAGTGCGGAACTGTCACATGGCCATATATCATGATTGTTTGTGAATATGCTCCTTTTCTGAAGACATCTCTAAGTCAGCCCTCAACTTCTTTTGGCAGCAGGGACTGCTTCTGTGGAAGATAAGTTTTTCACAGACTAGGGAGTGATGGATACAGGATTATCCAAGCTCATCCCATTTACTGTGTACTTTATTTCCATTGTATTATGTTGTAACACATAAAGAAATGTTTTGCAATTCAACATGATGCAGAGCCAGTGGAAGCCCTGAGCTTGTCCCATCTGGGTGATGGGAGACAGTGACACCCAAAGTGTGTTGCCTGTGTCCAGTCTGCTCTGTAATCTCATTGCATTTTCTGCCACTGCAGAAAACACTGATTCACAAGGACGTTGTGCAGATAGGATGCTGGAACTGGAAGCCGGTCTTGCAGTGCTTTTGTGGCAATCTCAGGGTTGGGACTCGCATCTCTCAGCTCCCCAGGGAGGCTGCATCCCCTCTCCAGCTATGGTTTACCCATTGTAATGACTGGGTCCTCCCGCTCCTTCCATTGCCCAGTGGAGCATAAATAGTTTTGTGTTTCTTTGCATCACTGGTACTTACACCAGTACAGATGTGTAATGGATTCAAAGTAAAGAGTAGAGAAATATATTTTTCAAATGAAGAAAAAGAAACTAGCAGAAGCTTGCTAAGGTGCTCAGTCACACAGATGGCTAGAATGGGGCAACTTCTTGTTAAATTTTCATTTCTCCAAGGCTGTCATGATGGCATGGTCTTCCTTTTTCCGCTCAATGATGAGCTCCATTCTTCTGAGACTAGATTTGTTGCTTTCCCGTTCAGTAAGGATCACAGCTAATTCTGGTAACATGCTGTTGATTTCATTTATTTTAAAATGAACAAATCCTCACTGTAGCCTCACCACCATTCATATATTGAAACATTGGACACTGGACCTCAGAAAACTTTGTTTTTTAATGAGTGTGGTATGGGGCTGTGGGATGAAGGAGTGAAGTACAGTAGGTGCTACAATGTGCTTTTTCTACCTTTGAAATTCTGAGTGTGTTTTCTAAGGGTCCTTTGTATATGTGCTATGGCGATATATCTGGAGGAACAAACACCTAAAGCATGAAAATACTTTTTCATTTATTTATTTGTTTGTTTATTTGCTTGTTTGTTTGTTTAATTGAGACAGGGTCTCATTAGGTAGTTGAGACTGACTTGGAACTCACCGTATAGCCCAGGCTGGTCTCGAACTCACAGCAATCCGCCTGCCTCAGCCTCCTGAGTGCTAGGATTACAGGCATGTGCCACCATGCCGGGAAAAAAATACTTTCTTTTTGCTGGAAGAGCAGTTGATGCAGTTTATTTTGGATGCAACTAGCCTATATTAAAGTGACTTTTTTTTTTTTTTAGCTCCATTTCCAGGGTTCACGACCTGAAAGGATACACAAACTCTGGCTGTAGGGGCAAAGGCCAGTGAGAAGTGAACTCTGCTACTAGCAGTCTCATGATTGCTGTTGCTTCGTTAGTGCCCTGATTAAAAAGTGCATTGGCTTTGAGGGATTTGATTTGTTGCTGACCTTATTTTTCCCAGTGAGGGCTGTTATGTTTAGTGTATAATTTTGCAAAATGTGAGAATGTTTTAGATAAGTGGTATGGCAGAAATACTTGTTCCTAGTAGTTTTCTTAACAACATTTATATAACACTTACTAAATGCTGGACATTTTTCTAAATATCTTACATGCATTAACTCATCGAATCTGCAGAATGACTTAATAAGACTGGTTTTATTACTATTCCTTTTTTTTTTTTTTTTTACAAAAAAGAAAACAGACAGCAGGATGAAATAAACAAAAGAATGAGTATTTTAAGAGAATATAAATCTGAGTGGTATGGGAGGGGAAAGAAAGTTACATTCTTAAATTTAGAACTACGGACAGGTGAAAGGTAAGTTTTCTGGGAAGTGAGGCTCCATCAGAAGAAGGCAGTACATAACCTTACTTGACAAAACTGTTCTTTAAGCCTTGCCATGTATATTTAACTACTTAACAGTTTATTCTGAGCATCGCTTGGACAGCACATTTGCATACGTGCTGATTATCCTGAGTGCAGCTCAGGAAGGTGTGATTTCAAACACCTTGTATTACTGTGTTGAATAAGTGTGATACAATTGTCATTTTTATATTTCCTGTTATATTATTTTATAAAATTGATGAAAATTATGCAATATTTGGTCATCCTGTATTTAAATAGTTGGAGTGGTAAGTGGTGAAATGCATATCCACTTTCTTTTTCATCTCAGTGGGGCACATATTCATTCTTTTCAAACTTTTAACTAAGCTGTCAATAGATATTCTGTATGAATCAATGGTAGGCATAATAGACTGTAGTGGTTACACAGATTCCTATCACTAAACCCCATTGTTCTGGTCCCTTTGAGTTGATTGTCGAACTGCAACTTTCATGTCTCCTCCCTTTCTCCTGCACCCCTTTCTTTTTTTTTTTCCTCTCAAATTAGATTAGGTACTGAGATTAGTTCAGCACAAAGTCAGACCAGACATAAAATATGGAGACTCCATGAAACCTGTACAAGCAAGCTTTGAAAGAGCTGTTGTTTATTTCTCTAAGTAAAAAACTGATTTTTATAGAGAGATTCTTTCAGAAATTAATTTAGTGGAAGTAAATGAAATTTTAATGGGAAGTAGGCATTGTGTATGTGCAGCCTAGGGTGCAGACTGTAGGCACCAGCAGAATTTGGGGTATGGTCCTCTCCTTGGCTGTCTGTTGAAGAACGTGGAGATTAGTGAAAACGATTCATGCTTTCATAATGAGTTTGTAGCTCAACAAAGCACTACCTGTCATCTGTTGACTGTATTCTGGGCTCTGGAAGAACATTTCATTATTTAATTCATAATGAAGAGAGAATGTATAAAATATTTTAAATGAATGCTTGTCAATATGTAAGGTAAGAAAAATGTTGCATTGCTTTTTATAATCCTCCCTTTCATTCTTTCATAACCAAATGCCTTTCTGATTTCTTTTAAATTTCCATTTTTATGCCAAGCAACTAAAATTTTTATCTCCTCTTTCCAGAACAAATTTGGATTTTAAAGCATCTTAGTACGTGTAGATCAGCATTTTAGCAAAATGTGAACTAAGGATCATATCTGTCCGAAACATTTGAAGTACTTGTCAGAAAATGTGAGGTTTTGGCCCCCAGATCTATTTAATGAATAGAAATTTGGATATGAGTCTCTAAGTCTCTACATCTTTTTTCCAGCTTTAATTGAGTTTATTGGTACATTTTAGGGATACAGTACAGTTACATTCATTGTTGGGATCTTGTACCTCTACATGACAAGTCTTGATTCTCATTTTTTCCCCTTACCTCACCCTCCCTTCACCCCCTCCTTCCCTCCCCATTTACAAACACTTTATTTTCACCTTTTCATTCTTTCACATTTTTTTCTTTTCCCTTTTACTCTTCCCCTACCCATCCCACCTTCCCTACACCTTTAGATCCTTTCATCTCATTTCTAAATGACAGTATTCTTATTAGGATCTTATGTTTTATTGCAGATTATTCACAACAGGGAAACTATTCGGTATTTACACATGTGTGTAAGTCTCTACATTTTTAACAAGGTTCTATGGTTTTTATTCATGCTAAAGATTAATGTGTATAAAATGTAGCTTTGAATCACTTATGTAGACAATTTGGGGAATCCCCAATATGTATAGCTGTTGCAGTCAGGCAAAACAGCCATTGCTGGATTGATTATGGTAGATCCCAGATTTTTCTCTGACAGATTGGACAGGCTTTGTTTCTTCATTCAAATGGAATCACAAGAATCAATTCATCCACTCATTCAAAACCTGAGGACTAAGTGAATGAATCAAAGTATGATGCTGGGATTAATCTCAGAAGTCTTACTTGAGTTTAAAAAAGAAAAGGACTTTTAAAACAATCTCTACACAAAGTTTGTCAAGACAGTTGAGTTAACTTATGAGTGCAGAAACAGCCTCATAACAAGATCCTTGAACAAGATTGCAGATATGCTTAAGTTTCTGGGCTAAGTGGGATTCCGTACTCTGGGAGGCTGAGGTAGGAAGTTTGCAAGTTTGAGACCAGCCTGGGCAACTTACTAGAACCTGTATCACAACTGAAAAGGAGGGAGGGGCTGGGATTATAGGTCAGTATGAAGGCTGTATGGTCAATCTCACGCCACACATGCACACACACGCACACCATTGCCACCACCGAAAAATAAACACTGAATGAAGTATTGTATACACACTATTCAATACTCACTTCTTTTTGAAATAGTCCTTCTCTTCACTTCCCTGATTC